GAAATATATCGTCACATCCAAACAGGAGTGGATGAAGGAGGGATGAGGCGACTGCTGAAGTTTTTCCATTTCTTTCCTGATTTTTTTTTTTAAACAAACTTTTTAAGACATATTTAGGTTTTTTTTAAGTATTTTTTTTGTCACTGTATGACAGTAATTATTAAAACTAACATTTACTTCTAGCCAATCATGAACAAAATTATCTCAATTGAAATTAATGATGCATTAGTTCATGTTATTAGTCAATGTTTTTGTTCTAAAAATGTCATCTAGTCAATATTTTATTTTCAGTTTGTTGTGTATCATAAACTAGGTCATCTGTTTGGGATGACAAATTCATTAAGATTTGAAATTAATTACATTTTTTTTATTGTTTTATCTTAAATATTTGCTAAGTTTTTTCCATTTATTGAAATATGCTTAAGTACAGACATGGGTTTTAGCTTAAAATTCTCTTATCAATACAATATTGCTATTTTATATTTAAAAAATGTTGGACATACTTAAACAATGTTTTTGCTTGTTTTAAACACATTTACTTTTTTGAAAGATTTATTTAGAAGACTAGTAGCAGAAGAATTTGGCATTTAAGATTTGAAATCATAAAAAATACAAAGGTTTTTTTTCTTTTACTTAAATATTTGCTATTGTACTAAATTTTCCCATTTATTAGCGATGCATAACTACGGATATGTTAAAAGCTCTTAGCAATACAATCATTCTGAGTTTACAGTGAAAATGTTGGACATATTTGGAAAAATGTTTTTACTTGTTTTAAATTCACATTTTTTTAAAATAACTTAATATAAAAAATATTTTTGTTGCTTTTATTTACAAAATTTCAAGTTCTTTTATTTTAATAAAATTGTTGCTTAGAACAATGGAATTGTGATGCCTGTGATAAATTTGCATGTTTTTATTCTTATTTTACTTTGTATCTCAGAATGTAACTTAGAAGTCAGATAAGTTTAGAGACATTTTAAGTCGTATAACAACTGTTCGTCAAGCTGAAGTTATATTTTTGAATATTCTGTTTATTTTTCTTTTTGTGGAGACTATTATGCTTTAACCATAAATATGTCGACATTTTGATATTAAAAAATGACAATAAGTACTGGTTTTCATTTGGAATATAAAGTCTAGAACTGTTTATGACAATACTTTTAAAATACTTTTTTCTTTAGGGATTACTTTTAGTTTACTATTCTTTTAGCTTCACTGTTGAACCATTATGTGATTAATAAAGTACTGTTGGGGAAAATCAACTTTATGTTTTACTGATAAGTGATTGCTTTTGTTTTGATTGTACTTATCAATGGAATTAAAATCATCAAAAATAACCTTGACTATTTAATGATCTTTTCAATTTGTGTGAAGTTGTAATGTTCTATTGTAAAACAGTGAAAAACTTATTAGATTCTGTCAGATTTAAATATTTTGTTTCTGTGAATATGGATGGTTTTGACTGATAGCCAGAGAGATTTTTAATTTATAAACCTTCAAGATGATCTTAGAACTTCAGATCAAATCATTTAATTTTACATTGCAGTTGTCACAAATTTAAACTCTTTGATTACATTTTAAATCAGGCCAATATTTCTAGAATAAAGATGTGTATTTGATGTAAATAATGTTACTGTAAGACTTTAACTTTGATTTGGAGCTTATTCTTTCCATTCTTTTAGTTTAACAACCTTAAAACCAAATTAGTTTTCCAGACACAGATGAAAAGATGTTAAAGTACCTCTATTTAATGAATTAAACCATTATTGAAAAATATTTTCAGAAAACATAAACTGCTTTCAAAACGTTTTTTATTCTCACGTTCTTCTGTACATAAATTACATGAATGTGTGTTAGAAAAATAAAAGAAAACTCAACATATGTTGGATTTTTCCATTTCCATATGAAGAATATGAGAATCTTTTCATGCATCACCTTGAAAATGTTTTTAACTAAAGATCAGGAGCTGAAACCTTTCAGCTCACAGTCTGACGTTTCTCCAGATGTCATCATATCAAACGTACAACTAATGTAAATAAAAAAACATTTAAAAAGATTCGTTTGGACTGGACACTTCCTACATCATCTGAGCTTAGTTGTTCACAACACAACAGATGGATATTCCTCCACATTTTGACAAAAATTTCTAAAGATGAGAAGACAAATAAAAAACAAACAAACTACAATCAGCACAGCTTATGTGTTGAATGTATCAGGAACCGCTCAGATAACAGGCTGTTTGGGTCAGTGCTGGTTCTTCATTCCCTGAGATTTGCCAGTTTTCTTATCGGTCGGCGGCTGCTGGCCCCGCCCAGGACCGGACATCCCTCTGCCGCGGCTGCCAAACACACCTGCAAATCAAACGATTCAACACGTGTTTAAACTCCGACATCTGATCTCCTCTAGGAGTAAAACAAGTCAGGAGATTCAACTGTGGAAAGTTTATCAGAGGAAACAAACAGGAAGTAGTTGTGTTCACCTCGGCCGGGTCCTCCTCTTCCTTTGCCCTGCTGCTTGTTCTGCTGGGAGCCGCCACGGCCGCGCCCCTTCGACAGAACCTCCTCCTTCACCATGTCAATGATCTCATCAGGGATTCGCAGGTACTTGATCGTACTTCCTCGGATGTAGCACTCAGGCATCCTCCAGAACTTGTCTCCATCCTGTGGGGGAAAATAAGTGCCGATAATTTAGTCATTGAAGACTGAAAGCCTCAATGATACAGGAAAAAAAAATGAAAATCATGACTGATTGAGAAGTTTTGCTCATGAAGACAAATGGAAACTTCTAGAAATTTTTAAGAACAATTGTTACAAAGGAACAGAGGTTATTTGGTATTTTAAGGTCATTTCAAGTCAAATATTAAACCTGTTTTAACCTTTCTGAAACTTTATATTTGCTCTTTTAACCAATTTTCTATCAATATTTCAGAAAAAAAGCTTCATTCAGTTCAGCATCTTGAACTTTTTTTTTTTAATCTGAGGAAAAATGGTAGAATCAAGTTCACACACAGGAAGGATTTAAGGAAGAAGAAACAATTTACAAAAATCTTTAGTCTAAACATGGCACGCAGTAGTTTCTTGATTTGATAATGGTTTTTGCATGTCTTTTTACATTTACATGTCTTTTACCAAAACCTGCTGAATTTTTTCCTGCTGTACGTCTTATAGGCTTAACAGAGACACACAAAGACAGTTACAAAGTTGGCCTTCTATCACCTGAAGAACATTTCCAGGATTAAAGAACTAATATTCCAACAATATATTGAGAAATTCATAGATGTTTTCATCGTTAGTCGCATTGATTACTGTAACAGTATATTCAGAATTCTGCCTAATAACAGGCAGATTGATAATTGATTGATAATCAATCAGCTGTAGCTGATCCAGCATGTTGCTGCTGGCGTTCTGACTAAAATCAAGAAGACAGAGGACATCACCCAGTTCTGGAATCCTTTCTCTAGCTTCCTGTAGCTCAGAGATGCTTTAAATCATCTTAAAAGCATATTTAATATGAGTACATTAGAAGGTGATTGAGCATGGCTTTACCCTGGATGTGCAGATGACTTCTCTCAGGTTGATGTTCATCCAGTTGTCGCAGCTCACCAGGTGGCCATTGTAGGTTTCCCCATTTTTAAGCTCAACCAGCTGGAAAACAAAACAAATCATCACAGAACGCAAATAATTATCAGTCCTCAGCACAGAGGACATTACAGTTAATTATATACATCAGGCTGATAATTAAGTTATGTTTGTGCCAAACACATCATAACATGTGCTTCACAAACGACATTGTACTTCAATGTGTGGGTTATGAGCATTAAAACTGAATTATTTGGGAGTTAGTGTCTCCTCACCATGGGATGGTTCTGGGCAGTTTTCAGTAGAGACAATGGAAGCTGAAAAATAACAAATACAAAGTTATATTTTCATAAAGCGCAATCAAAGCAACTGCTGTCTTATCCTCAGCTAACACGTTATCCATTAGTATGCAACGAGTCTTATAAAGACGTATTACGGTATCAACGACAAACATGACTTTCATAGAAGTAAGTATGAATATTTATAAAATTACAAGTAAAGTTTCTAACTCATAAAATACTTATTTGAGTAACAAAGACCTCATTTAGCCACAGATGCTAACAGCAGTTAGCTGTCGGCTCAACAGTTTCCTGGTTTACAAACTTATAAACTTTGTTTGTGTCAGTCAAACTTACAATTTGTATTTCAGATTAATAAAAGAAATCAACCGACCAGATTAAACCGTTATTTACTCACCATTATGGTTATATTTGTTTCTATTTCTTATCTCCTGCGATAAATAACACGGCTTTTCCCACCTACACTTCTTCTTTGCCTCCTAATGGTAGGGGACCGTATCTTATAGTGCTGCCCCCTGCTGCTGAAAACTTGCATCTTTAATGGCTTTGAGTTCATCTGCCTGAATGCTTCTTTTTTGCTTCTAACAGATGAAAAAGCGTTCAATGTATCTCGTTAAGAAGTTGTCCAGGAATGAGACGAGTCCAGTAAGTGAAAAGGAAGTCAGCATTAAAAAATGATTGAGAGGGAATTGTTGTGTCAACAATTTATCCCCAGCAAGTGCATCCTTGAATAACAAATCACAAGTGCACGGGGAAAAATGCAGAAAGCAGAATATATTTTGTAATTTATATATATATTTCTGGCCTAACCCTCTTTCCTACCTATTGGACTAAATAAACTTGTGTAACGCAGAGGTTTACTGAATTGTTCAGTCTTTTTTTTTTTTCATTGCAAAGATCGTTAAAAAAAAAAGAAATACTCTTAAAACTGTAATTTTAAAAAAATGTTTTTACAGTGATAAATAAATAAATTCTGAGAAAACATTAAAACACGTTTCTGAAAACAAGAATTCACTTGGTGGCGGTAAGTAAGCGCATCACCAGTTAGTTTACCGACCGCTAACGACACACAGAAGAAGAAGAGAATTTCACGTCAACGTCATGACGTTGCGCTCCACGCACCACGTAGAATGAAGGAGAACGGGCCAGTTTCCTCTGATTGTGGCAGAAGGAGCCGTCAGCTTAGCGGGGGCTTCGACTCTCTGCGGGGATCTGCTTCAGTTTACGAACCGAGAAGAAGCGACGGATTCTAGGCGACATTTCAGGCGATGGATAACAGCAGCCGGACTGTGGTGGTGACAGGTCGGTGTCTCGTTTCGGCGCTGTTGTTGTCGTGCTGCCGGGAGTGAATGAAGTCAAGGAAAAGTTGGAGAAGATGACAGCTGCTCTGCCCTTAATGGCGTCAGGTTGTTCTGAGCTGCACTTGTGCCCTGAAAGAAACGCTTTGTTGCTGACTTTGCAGAGTTATGCGCTTGCTTTTGATACACAGCTGCTGAGCATCTTATTATTTTGACAGCACAATAGACTTTACAGATTATTTGTTTTCTGACATAAATTTAAAATTGCACGTTGTCTTTCTTAAATCAATGTTTTTTCCCCTTGGATTGTTTATGCATTATGTCCTTTAAACGTAATATATTTTTAACCTACCTTATCTCGAGTTTTAAGCAATAACTTATCCTGTTTGTCGAAAATAAAGTAGATTATTATTATTATTCATTAATAGTTATTAATATCTATTGACAGCAAAAGGAAAAGAAAAAGCTGCATTTTATAATATTCAGATGGTTTTTAAATACTTTTATACATTTAATTATCGTTTTACCTTAATTGTAACTTTTTATATTTTGATTTTATTTGCTTTTAAAGAGTGAGGATCTACATCCTCATTAGATCTCCAATTAATTAGCAGCCCAATATTGTTCCAGAGCTTTTATGTTTGTACTATATTATGTTTATTGTTTTACTTTAAAAGCTGTGAAATACTTATTGTTTGTAGTTATTAAATATGTTAATATCTTTTCCATCAGTAAATAAACTTATTCTAAAATATTACCAATTTTGATAAGTGAAAACATATTTTTATGATTTTTTCTGTTAAAAACTAAATTTGCGAGGTGTAATTTCATATCTCGCTATGTTAAGTCAATGCTTTCTAACTGCACAAAGCACAGTCCTGACTGTTGCCTTCACACAGGAGCTCCAGACTGAGATTTTGTGCAATCAGACACAAAAGAGTGCAGAGACTCGCAGCCCCATCCGAAGGGCTGGATGTGTAGATTGCTTGGGAACAGTTCCTGCACAATAGCGGGCCGGCTGGCAGCTGCTGGCCCCTCGCTCTGCTCCTTTTCAGCAGCCTGTCAGACAGACTGATCCTTTCTCCACCCAACCCCCAGGGACCCGCTGACCCCGGGACGGGTGGAGGAGAAGGAGCAGGGGGGGATCAGTCGTATATTCCTATATAAACAAGCCTGGCTGAACAACCATTAGCTGTCCAGATATTTTTCTTCAGTCTTTATGATGCTCTTCATGAAGTGGTGATAATTACTCGTGCTCTGTAGGAAAGTGTGTTTATTTTTCACCTTTTTGTTTAATGACAGGCTTGTTTTCATCCGCAGTTCAGCGCTAAAACTTATAACATCTGTACTTTCTTATAACCTAAACTGAGTAATCACATTTTTTCTGCATGAATATGATTAAGAAAAGTTTGTTTTTACTTTCACACACTCATGATTGTAATCTTGAGTAAAGTAAACATTGGGACTCTTGCAGGTTTTGGACCATTTGGAGAACACACCGTCAACGCCAGCTGGGTAGCAGTGCAGGTATTTCCTTCATCTGTTTGTTTTATTTGGCCTCACTAATAATATTATATGTGTAATCATAAAAATGTAGAGAGAGAAAATGAAAGTAAAGTCTAACATTTCTCTCCTTGCAGTAGCAACATTTAAAGCTTGCAATGCCCTCCGTGTTCATTTTTGTTTTTGTTCACATTTGGAGATGTTTGTATTTCAGACAGTTATGTGACACTTTAATGGTCGCCGGCCGGCCGGCTTCACACTGCGCCGCGCTGTATGCAGTGGGGGGATGATGGTGGTTGTCAGGGTGTCTAGACGGACTTGATAAGGATATTAGAGCCAAACAAAAGGCCGTATTGAAGCAGGGTCACAGACACGGACAGACCGACCTCCTTTAACACCAGTGAGGGGGTCAGCGACCTCGGTGACTTGTCCTAAATCGAGACGACGGGGGGGAGGTGGACATCCACTGGCTGTAAATTCAACACAAACTGTCTTCCGTATGAAATCTATGATTGCATCTTCTTTAATATGAATAATGGAGACTTTGGGTGGAAATATGTAGGCTTGTCACAATAACAAATTTTGCTGGACAATAAATTGTCCGAGAACTTATTGCAATAAACGATAATATTGTTGTTTTGAGAACATTTTCAATTGATATAATACCAATAATGACATATAAATGCAGGAACACATTCTCAAAGATCAATAAACTTTGAATTCTAATGAACATTGAAACGCTAGAACTGGAAAACATTTGAAATATCCAAAATAATTAAAGAATACAATAGAAACAACAAATAAAACTAGAAAACCTCTGAAGAAATTTAAACGGGGCCTGTAATAAATTAAGGAAGAAAACCAAACTTCTACAAGTTATTTACAACTAAATTATATATTTTTTAAAAATCACAGAAATTTTAAAGAACAACTTTGAAAAAGATCCAAAACAGCTTTAAAATATTACAAATGTGTCACACCTTTAGAGGTAAATAAAAATCAGTCATAAATCAGGAACTTCTGCACAGATCTGTTTAATTTTTGTCAAACAGTGATAGTTGCTGTAATTATTTCTGCTGTTGAGTTTCTTTAGCCATAAAGGTTTGGTTTTTGTCAGGAAATGAAGAAACTTGGATTGGGGAAAAATGTGGACCTGCATGTACATGAGGTTCCTGTAGAGTACCAGAAAGTCCAGAGTTTGGTTCCGTCATTGTGGAAGCAATTTCATCCACGGGTAAGACGATCAAATCGCATACATCTGGTGTTTTAACCGTGTTTATAAAGGTTGAATTTGGTCCCTAATATGTCTGAGACTGATCTGGAAAAAACTAAGAGCCGCTGCACTGAACCCGATGGAAAACCTGCTGGTTATTCCACCAAATATTATTTCTGAACTCTTCCTGAGTTAAAACATGATTACCATTGTTTATAAATGAATGTCAATTTGTTTTCTTTGCATTACTTGAGGTCTGACGATAACAATAACATCTTGTTATTTGTTATTTTGACCATTTCTAATTTTCTGCACATAAATACAAAATTTTTGCTTGGAATATCAGAGACATGTTGTCAGGAGTTGATAGAATAAACAAACAATGTTTATTTTACTCAAACTTAAACCTATAAAAGGTAAAATCAGAGAAACTGATCGTTTTAAGTGGTCTCTTATTTTTTCCTGAGCTTTAAATTGCCTGATTGACTCAGATTTGATCTAATTTAGACTCTTGGATAAACACTGTATAAACTAAATTCCACCCAGTCATACTTTTTGACCTTAAAACAACTTTCACAATAAGACATTTTGCTTCAATTTAAGTTGTTTAAACTTATAGCAACATTGTTGTAAAGCCGCCTCAGTGATTCTAACAATCGGTTGCTTGTCCAGCTCATCGTCCATGTGGGAGTCTCAGGGATGGCCACCACTGTGACGCTGGAGAAGTGTGGCAGAAATCACGGCTACAAAGGTCTGGACAACAGCAGCTTCTGTCCAGACTCACAGTGTTGCATTGTGGGAGGCCCAGACTGTATCAACTCAGTTATTGACATGGAGTCTGTCTGCAAGAGAGTGACTGCGACAGCAGGACTGGGAGTAGCTGTGACCGTCTCCAAAGATGCTGGAAGGTGAAGCGGATCTTTGTTTTTATTTTGTTTCTTGTGTTTCCATCAGAGCTGAGTGGAGAAAATAAAAAATGAACTCAAATAAGAGTAGAACCACTTCATTATGTTTTTACTCATGTAAAAGTCAAAAGCAGCCAACCAAGAAAAGAATTAGCAAGTATTGATCAAAAAGCAAACATGTGAAACATGTAACATGTAAAAATCATCATCCGATGGACCAAAATATAAAGTTATGTGGAAACGTTGGTATTTTAAGGGCCAAAATGATATTAATTTATGTAAATTACAAAATAATAAAATTAGGCAAAAGAAGAAAAACTCAGTTTCTTTAAATATAAAACTTAAGAAACTTTAACAAAAACTGCAGGTCTGTTTCTGTTTCTGTGAATTTTTGGTTCAAACATGTTTGTTTTTCATTCAGTGGGAAGAAAATGCAGAAATTTTACTCAAGATTAGAGTAAAAATATTCCTAAAAGTATTTTTTGCTAAAAGGTTACAAAAGTAAATGTAAAAAGTTTTCCTTTTTTTGAAAGTTTGCATTAGAAAAGTTTGACGAAAACAGCAAAACCTTTAAAATGCCCTGCTGCTGAAAGGTGCTTTAGAAATAAAATTTTATTGATTGATTGACTGAAAATTCAAAATACTTTCCTCTATTTTGCAAAAAAAAAAAAAAAAAACAAGTTTAAAAGCTCATAAAAGCAGTTTTGGGTTTTTCCAGAAAAAGTTACTGTGCTAAAGTAGAAACACATTTTCAGAATAATCTAAAACAAATAAATAAAGTTTAATCGATACTTATCAGTATCAATTTCAAAATTGGCAGTAACTACTATTTACTCTATTACATTTACTTGTGTCTTTTTTGTGAAATATTTGAACTTGAGTAATTTTATTTTTAAGTATTTCTACTCTTGAGTAAAATGTCTGAATTTTCTACCGACTGATTGAAGGACAATTTAACGAGAAATTCACCAGACACAAACATGCAGTTTTTACTAAAGTTTCTTAAGTTTTTTATTGAAAGAAACTCATTTAGAAAATATTTTTCTCATGTCTGATTTTGTTATTTTTTTGTTACTTATATTAATTATTGTCATTTTGGTCCTTAAAATACAAAAGATTTCCACTTAACTTTATATTTTGGTTCATCTGATGATGTACTTTTTTAAAATATTAAATGAATGATAATTTGAGTAGACTTTTTATCAAATACTTTGTACTTTTACTTGAATAAAAATATGTTGAAGTACTACTGCTCTTACTTTGGTGTAACTCTGGGTTCTCTGCTGATATGAAGCTTTTGTATCATGATACGTTTTTCGATCGTATCGTCCAACCCTGTGGGTTCAGGACTGATTTGTGCATAAGAACGACTGTGAAGTGTTGACTTTGTCTTTAGATTCTCCAGGTTTGACTTGTTTCAGCAGAAAAATGGAACAAATGAGTTATAAAAACCCAATTGGACTAGAGATCGATGTAGCAGAGGGCAGGACAGTGGAGAAAAAAGTCACTATCACTGTTGGTATCAAGAGGATCCTGGGTTTGAATCATGGCGTTTGCATGTTTATTTCTTTCTATTTTTATAGTGAAGAATTATTGGTGCAGTAAAATCTATGCAGCATTAATCTCTCATGGTTTCATAGTAATTATGATTTAAAAGCCTGGCACTACAAACTTTCATAAAAGTGTGTAACTGGAGCAGATTTTAAATGATTTCGCTCTGGCTCCATGTAAAATGTGTTGCAGCAACGAAAATAGGTTGTCGTGAATAAAAGTGTGACCTTCGCCTCTGTTGCTGTGATCACATTTCAGCAGAGTCGCTACAAACCCAAAGGAAAAGCCTGAATGGATCTCAGTCTGTCTGCTCCATTTATACCCAAATAGATCTGTTACTGAGCCGCAGTGATGGGAGTCCACTGTTTTAATTTGCTTTGCTTCAACGTAAAAGTTAATTATCACTTTAACCCTTTGAGTCCTAAGTTTCAAATCTCAATAGTTTTGCTTACTTTAATTGTATGCAGTTTTTTTAAATATCCTGGAGTAAATATATATTTATCCATAAAACTGGAACTTTCAATATCTAGCAAGTTATTTTTGTAATTCACCGTCTATTAAAAGATGATCAGATTAACGTCACTCCCTGCTACAGTGGGGGTGAAATTACTACAATTCACTCCAGTTTTGGCTTAATTTCTGATTTGCACTGGTTGTTCTTTCAGTAATTGTTTTTTCTTTGACTCCAGTTAATGATTTATCAATTACTAAGTTAGTTGAAGATCAATCTGATTGATTGTTTCACCCTCTACACTACTGTAAATTGAAATTATTATTTGATTTCAGTTGTAAAACCTGAACCAACTGAATGTTTTAAGCTGTAACAACTGGGCCTGTCACAATTACAAATTTTCCTGGATGATAAATTGTCCCAGAAGTTTTTGCGATACGCGATAATATCGTGTTGAGACCATTTTCAAGTCATAATGCAAGAACGCGTTGTTACAGGTCAATAAACTTTAATTTCTGATGAACATATAACACTGGAACTGGAAGATGAACAAAACAGTCCTTCAAAATAAAGGCAAGTAGAGACCAAATCACTTGGTCTCTGCCAGTTATTGGTAGAACAAAAGAACAATTATAAATTATGCAAATAAAAGTTATTGAATCTGTTTTGATTTTTCATGTGATTAATTGATTTATTGACTATTATTATAGGCCCAGTAATAACTTAATTTTCTGTTCTGCCTCACCCTGTCAGTAACAAATATTGCTGAATGATTAATTGTCTCAAAAATTATTGCAATAAACAACAATATTGCTTGAAGACCTTTTTCAACTAATGTAATGTTAAAGACATAATAATGTGCATCCTGTTAAAAATAAATACACTATTTTCAAAAGAACACTTAACACTGGAACTGTTAAAGAAAATAAATAAAACTGACTTCATTAAAAACTGAACAACATAAAACCAAAGTGGAAATAAAAACTACATTCAACCAAAAGAGTGCAGATTATGAAGTCTGTGTCTATATCTCCCATCAATAATCAATAGAGATATAGAAGACGGGCAAATCCGACTTTTTCATCCAGTGTCATCAATAGAAAGAGAAAAAGGCAGGAAGAAACGAAAAGCCGATAAATTAAAATGATACTTTTCATTTATTGCCTACCTGCTTCCTGTTTTGGTTGAATTTAATCTCTTCATTCGTCTCGTTTTCTGCTCTTTTTCTCAGGTACCTCTGCGACTTCACCTACTACACGTCCCTGTACCTGAGCCGCGGCCGCTCCGCCTTCATCCACGTGCCTCCTCTGGGAAAGCCTTACAGCGGGGAGGAGCTGGGCCGCGCGCTGCAGGCCATCATCAGGGAGATGCTGGAGCTCCTGGACCAGGCGGAGGACCAGATCCACTGCCAGCAGCACATCCACTAAGTGACCTCCCTCCAGCGTCTCCAGCCCGAGCCACACAAAAGTAATTGCACTTGACCACAAGTAGCCAAAACTTCCTTTTCTTGTTTTTTTTTTTTTTTTTGCTCTTAATTTACTGAACTTTTGAGATTTGGCCCTTTTTTTTATATCACTATATATGTTTCTGTTTTACCTTCGTCACTTAATGTCTCCCCGTGGTCAGAAGATAAAACGAGAGTCGAAAGGCAACATTTAAGTTTAAAATCTGATTTCAGAGATGCACGAAAGCAAATCGCTGCTTTTGTTTTATATTTGGTCACAAATGGAGATACAAAGAGTCTGTGATGTGACGTTAAATACGATCTAAAAGCCCAAATGTGACTCCTATTAATGCACCTTGTAGGGTTAGGGTTACTGTAGGAGTCACATTTGGGAATCTGTAGCATCAGATGGAGATTTTTTTTCTTTTTTTTTTTTACATGTTCAATTCCTAAATATCTAGAAGATGTCCATGTACATAACACAACATGGTTTAAGTAGAAATGTTTAGCTGTAAGCTTCGTTCTCCGTCACCTTTTGTGTCCTGAACTCATCCGTCTTCTTTCCTTTTTGGTGTTGAATTGTTTCCGAATCGGTTTTCTTTATAAGAAGTTGTAAATTTGCCTTCCTTTACAAAGGTTATTTAAATCAGGGAACGGGTTGGTTCCAGCTCATACTTCCCCAGTTTGTTGGCCCAGTTCTGACAGAAATAAATATTTGCCCCACCGAGATCTGACCCCGGACTGTGCAATGAAACTTTACGGATCTCGTTCACTGGAAACCTTCTGAGAGTCGGGATTTTATTACGGCTGCACACCTGTTGACAAAAGGCTCAGAGTTTTAAGGTTCCTGGCAGAAAATAAAAACAAATTATTTCTTTTAAGGTCAGTAAACAAAGAAAATACTGGAAAAAGTTTTGGTTGAATTTAATCTCTTCATTCGTCTCGTTTTCTGCTCTTTTTCTCAGGTACCTCTGCGACTTCACTTAGTGTTTCAGATCAGAGAGAAATCTGAGTCAGTGATTCAAATTTAATTTCTTAAAGAAACAATCCAGATATTTGGAAATTCATTTTCATTTATAACCAGTTTGGTTTTTCTTTTGTTCCCCTTTTAAAAAACGCAAAAAGTAAAAACAACATCTTGTTTTTACGAGTTTCTATTCGTCTGATATTCAGTTCAGTTTGATATCCTTTAACATTTAATTGACAACAACGAAACAATATTAAAAATGTGTAGGGTATAAAAATATTCACCCGTTGGATGTTTTATTGCTGCTTTAACAAATCAGCCATAAAAAAACAACATTTGTGTTTTTTCCACTTTGTTCTAGTGAACATCTTTATTTAATTGTCTTTATTTGAACAAAATCAGTTTTTCTTTTTGGTTATTTTTTTGTTGTTGATAATGATTGATTTATAAAAGCTTTAAACAGAGTAAAGCATCCATAACGGTGAATATTTCAGAATCAAAGTATTAAAATCCAGCTGATGTGAAACTGCATTCGGGAACTAAACTCCGATGCTACATTTCTGTATAATTTCATTCTTTTTTTGTATTTAAACTCGAGATGCTTAAAGATTTTAATTAAGTGCATCTTAAACTCTTGAGGAAAAAATGCCAGCATTTTGCAGCTTGAAGCCAAATGTAGATTTTTCTGTCTTGTTTGTGCAGCTTTTCCTTCCTAATCCAAACTCTCTGACCTCGGTGAGTCACTTTTATCATCGCTTCTTATTTTAAGTGTCATGTTGACGTGCTGAAGAGTTTTCGGTCAGAACTGGGCCTTTGACTTTATTTCTGTTGCACTTTCTTTTTTTGTAAATTGGTTTAATCTGTTCTGAAACAGCATTTGTCAAACAATGTGAATGGTTGCATGTTTTTTTTTAATTTTCTGTCACTTTAAACCGAATCATGTAGCTTTCCACGATCACTTTAACTTGTTTTTTCTTTCCAACAATTATGAGATTTAAGATTTGTATCTCTCAGTGACTTTTACTTATTCTGTTTTTATTATGATTATTATTCCAGAGCTTTGTGTTTTGTTTTGATTTGTTGCATAAACAGGCTTCCCTTTTTTCTGTCTTGTTTCTTTTAATACCAAGGACAGTTTAGAGCTCTTCACTTCTTTTCAGTTTGCCTCAGCAGCTTCTTTTTAAACTTTTATAGCTAGACTTGTTCATGTTTTTCTGTTTAACATTGTTATACAGCTTGGATTCATTGAGGTTTAGTAAATTATCCCTAATTTTAACACTGCCGTTTATATGTGGATCCAGGGAAGAGTTGTGATGACATAATTGGATCGTGGAGCCACTTAAATTTCATCCTTTTATGTTTAAAAATCTTTGCAGTGATTAAACCTTAGAGCACATTGTCCTGAGTTGTTGTAAATATTGGCAGGTTATTGTGTGGCTTTGTGAGGGTTGTGAAGAAGGCTGTCTGCAGATTTGCTGCCTCAAGCTAACCTTTGAGGTGACCTCTGACCCTCTCCTGTGCCTTGTTGCTGTTTGTGTCCTGAAAAAGGCCTTACTAATTCTCCGTGGGTCAGATCTGAGAACTATTATCGATGCTGTCCGTACAGACGTGTGGCTACCTCACAAATACTGTTTTGGTTTTAATCTCAGTGTGTGCTCAGTTGTGCACCTACATCGTTGCTCTGTGACATGTTGACGGTTCTCTGAAAGGTTTCTTTGTGTTATTATGCACTGTTATAGTCTTTAATCTCACTTTGTAAAATAAAGGCTTTGAAATAAAGAAATTAAATGATGACATTAAATAACTTTATGTTTCATTTTCTTCCAACTCAACGGTGATGCCAAAAAAAAGCACTGATTATTTTAAGAAAACTTCCACAAACTTTGATTCAAGCTTGGAGAGTTTCTGAACATCGGCTTTCAAGTACTGGCACAGATTTAATCAATTTCTGGTCTTTTTGCCATTGAAACACACAAATATACTTTGGCACAAACCAGGAAAAAGAAAGGATTTGCAGTAGCAGACCGTCTTGCCAGTAATCTGATGCCTCTGACTGAAGACTGGTGCTGTAAGCCGACCACATGACTCATGACATTCCAACAATTCAACATTTGGACAACAGAGACAATATTCTACAGTAGCATTTCCTGTGTGACACCATCAGTTGTCACCAGCCACTGCTAATCTACTTCATTTGCTTTTGTTTTTCCTTTTGTCTCTGTCTGGTAAAGAAATATTGAAGTTGGTAATATGGTCGATGGAAGAAATGGTTTGAACTTCGTCCCATTCTCCTTGGACCTTTAGCAAAATCTCCTTTTCAACTCCTCTGGTAAATCAGGTGTTATTTGAGCTTTTGAGATGCTAATCAGCTGCTCCCAGAGGTAAACACATACATTTGTTGCCATAACTGTCAGAAAGTAAAATGGTAAGGGCAACAGTGATTCCATTTGCATCCAAATGCGTTGTACCTCATCCCAAAAAATCTGAACAGTTTATAAGAGGAACAAATCAGAATTAACGTAACAGAGCTACCGAAAATGGTGTCACCATAAAGCCAATTCTAGAAAATTAAATAAAAGAAACATTTCTAAAAAAAAATAAATAAAAAAAAAATCACAGAGTGAACACTCTTTTTCAATAATCTGTCTGTGTTGCTCCCCCAATCCCCCCCACCTTCCTCGGTTACGTCACACGTTGCGCGGCGCAGGGAAGTTCGTCACCGCCGCTGGGCTGTTGGTCCCGCTGAAGCTATCGAGGTTCTGATCGTTTCCATTTTTGTTTGGGTTCAAATTCGGACTCTTGGTGACGCTTTCTGAAAGATAAATCAACAAATAGACACTGCGCATTGTTTAGTCGTCTGTTACGAGCACCGGAAACAGCAGACTAAAGCGAAAGTTAAGGCACAAAAATGAGTGTGGAGGCGTACGGGCCGAGTTCCCAGACCCTCACCTTCCTGGACACCGAAGAAGCGGAGCTGCTCGGAGCGGACACCCAGGGCTCCGAGTACGACTTCACCGACTTCACTCTTCCGAGCCAGACGCAAACACAAGGCCAGACCCAGAGCCAGTTGGACGGACAGGTTCGAGGCTTTCATTTTTAGCAGAAGGCGCGGCGCTGACGTTAGCTTGCTGCTGCTAGCCCGCTATTATTAAAACCTCTAGCCTCCTTAGCTTAGCTTAAGCTAACGTTTGCGAAGACCGTTAAGTACGCTCTTTAAAGTTTCTCCAGTAGTCTCGCTTCCTTATTTCTAACACCTAAATCAAAACAGAGTCACGGAAATGTCTCCAGTTGTTTGGGATGACAGTAGTTTCACCGTTGACAATCTGTCAACGTGTCCACATCCTCAATGTGCGCCTTCCTCAGCCGTTAGCTGGTCTGTTAGCACCGAGTTTGTCTCACAATGATCATCTCTACCACATGTTGGAGGCTGAATTACTGTTCTCAATGAGAGAACATCTTCTCTGGAGAAAGTTTACTCAATCATAAGTAAACCTGTTAGGTGAAACTCGTGCTCAGGGGAAATATAGTTATCTGTAATGGCGCTTATGGGGGAAAAAACCGCATGTGGAAGGTGAAAATCGCACATAAAATGGACCAGTAATTTATTTCTTACGCATTCAACAGATCAATGGTCCTGATGAGGGTCTTCACAATGGAGGAATGGATGACTCTGTGGCCAAAACCAGCCAGTTGTTGGGCGAGCTCAACTTTGAGGAGGACGAAGAAGACACCTACTACACCAAAGATCTTCCAATACACGCATGCAGGTACTGTGAGAGGAACCAGAACATCCTGGGATGTTCTACTGCTATGTTTTTCCCCATATTATTCCTCTGACACTTAATCCTCTTTGACACCTAAACCTAAGACACATTTTATGTTTCTAACTATGTTAAAGTAGCACCTTTCAGATTAAACTTCTGGTCTTTGATCAGCGATCTGTTAGTTTTGGTTAGTTTGGGGTCAGGTTGTGGGCACAGCAGCCTCAGCAGCAGGCTCTCAGGCCAACTCCTCCAGGGGAATCCCCAGGCATTCCCAGACGAGCTGAGAAACATAATCTCTTCTGCTTGTCCTCTTTTTTCCTCTGGCATCCATTGTTTGTGTTCTATATTTTCAGTAGAATAACATGTTGAGTGATGTAGAGCTTTTCTTGTGTTTAAGATATATCTGTGCAGCCTTAGTGATGATGGAGACCCAGAGCTCAGACAGACACAGGGGAATCCCTGAAACACTTTAGATATGTGGCACAAAATACTCATCCGGGAGTCTTTCCACTTAGTTAGAAATGTAAACAAATGCAACAGCTGATCAGACGTGTTCTTTGTTGCACGTCAGTGTTACTGGATTCATTCTCCCAGCTGCTTCTTCCAAGCAGTTTAAATGTAAATTCTCTTATATAACCACTATGAATAGGGAGTATAAATAAGGCTAAAGTTTTATAGGTTTTGGCTTTAAATTGTGCTACAATGATGATGCAATTAAAACTGATTCACAGAGGAAACTGGTCTTCCAAGATGACTGGATATAGCATGATTTATATGATCTGTGGTCCAACATCACGCTTCTTTGTATGATTGCAAACATTTATGTAGTTTACAAATCACTAAAGGGAAATTCTGTGTGTTATTTTCTTAACAATCATATAAATCAGAGCTGTTGTGTAAGCAGTCTGATCCTTGGAAGAAAAATGTATCATTTCTTTTCTTGTTAAATTATTTCTCATGGCTGTAGCAGCACCATCACCATCCTGCATTAGTGACATCTGTTTTATTGGAAACTATTTGTAACTTTACTCACTATTTTGTGCAGATTTGTTTCAGATAAACACTCCCTTTTTTTACAGTTCTTTTTTTCACCTTTGTCCTGCATTTTTTCTGAAAGCACACACTGCTGTGATTTTGACTTGTGAATGTCACAGTGATGCATAATGAGAGGGGGCTTTCTGTGGAGCAGTTTATCATGTTATTAAATTCTGTGCAGTTGACCATTAACGTTTTATAAACAGGCAAATCAGATAAATATTTTTTTGTAAAGTTGTTTCGCAGGCCCAGGCTGTGGTTAGAATTTAAAATAATGTAATATTAAATTATGTAAAGTGCTAAATATCTAGATGTGTGGGATGAAACGTGTCTTTGTCTTGCAGCTACTGCGGCATCCATGACCCAGCATGTGTGGTGTACTGCAACACCAGTAAGAAGTGGTTCTGTAACGGCCGTGGTAACACGTCTGGCAGGTCTGTGATCTCATCTTCCTCTGATCATCACACGTTCTGTAAGATCATCACACCATGACTGTGGCATCAATAATCAGGAAATGTTGGCATGAAAACAGTCAGATTGTTCTAATATGGATGTGTATTTTTCTGTTGATTCTGTCACATTGAAGCCAATATTACCAAATGTGTGGTTTATTTCTAAATTACTATATTGTGTCATTAAACAATCTTAAAATGTGATATGTAGAGCAATTCATGCATTATAGAATACTGTCAATAAACACTACAGCTATTTAAAGCAATTAGAGAACACGTAAAATAATCAGTTTCTCTAATTTCACTTCTTATAGTTACATATTTGAGTAAAATTAACACTCTTCTTTTACCCTATGAACTACTGACATGTCTCTGATATTTCAAGCAAAAATTTATTATTTGCAGAAAATGAGAAATGGTCAAAATAACAAAAAAGATGCAAATAACGCAGAGAAAAAAGTTCATATTCATTTAGAAACAATACTAAAGTTTTAACTCAGGAAGAGTTCAGAAATCAATATTTGGTGAAGTGGGCTCTTTGTTTTTCCAGAGCTGTATATATGTAACTATTTCAGCATCTTTGGAGACTTTATGTGTCCTTTGTTTCTCCTCCAGCCACATTGTGAACCACATGGTGAGGGCCAAATGTAAAGAGGTGACACTGCATAAAGACGGGCCTCTGGGCGAAACGGTGCTGGAGTGCTACAACTGCGGCTGTCGCAACGTCTTCCTGCTGGGCTTCATCCCGGCTAAAGCCGACTCTGTGGTGGTACTGCTCTGCAGGTAAAGGCAATCATCCAGAGACTGGTTTATTACTGCTCCTAAACTTTCTATTACACTCTTCTTACAAACAATATATGATGAAGGTTTCTATTGTAGCACTTATCTCATCTGTTGTCTACAGTCCAGTGAACAGTTATGTTTCTGCTGACTTAGTTGAAAAGCAGGGATTTTAAACTGCATCTTTGGGGACTTTATGTGTCCTTTGTTTCTCCTCCAGCCACATTGTGAGCCACATGGTGAGGTTCTGTATATTTCTGAGGGGGAAACATAGTCAAAATCTAAAATGATTGTTTTAGATTCTTTTCTCTTCCAGATCTGCGCCTAAAACAGGTTTAGGCTTTGTTTAGGTGATTAACCTCAAACAGTCTTATTTATCCACTACTTGGTTCTCTGTCATGGGAAATAATGAATTTAATGATATTTTAATAGAAAAAGAAACGAGGAAGGCAACTGAACTGTGACAACACTGTAGGTGTTGATGTAACTTTGATGTAAGAGCAGAAACGTTCTGATTTCTGAAAGAAAACTGTATAATAATAGTTATATTTACTTTCTATTTGGGATTAAGTATTTTTTAATTGCCACATATCGGTTAATTAAAAAAAAATTGTTTAAGTGAACAAAGTTGTATTTATTTTGCTTCAGGCAAGTTAAAGATAAGTTGGACCTGAAAAGTAGTTTTGGTTTTGGTTCCTTTGGACTTTGTTTACACACCTGTTGCAGAGTGACGTGTTGCGCCTCGGTTGCCTCAGTCTGGCTGTCAA